TGTAGCTGTGCCTGGCACACAGCAAGCACCCAGTGATGCCAGCTGGCGAGATAATGAGGAGCAAGAATTAACCATCGTGCAAGCAGGTGGCAGGGCCACAGCAGATCAGCTGAACCTGGGCCTGCTTCTGCCCAGAGGGAAGAGTCCTCGGTCACAACAGCCGTTTAAAACGTGCGTCCATGAGGCAGGGGCTCCCCTGGGGACTCGGCCCTCCAGCTCAGCCCAGGCACAGCTCAACCTGTGGTCAGACTGCTCTGAGATCCGTAAACAGAGGGAGGAAGCGCGGCAGCTGCCCCCCAGAACTTTCGATGATGCATGGGTCCCGCCCCAGCGGCGCCTCTGCAAACGTAAACCACCTGCGGCTCGGTGCGGGGCTCGGGGCAGCCTGGACGCCCTGGGCACTGGCTGCAGCGGGGGGTGGGTGGGGGGACACACGCTGGCTCCTGGGATTCGGTTTCCTAGACCGAGTACGTGATGCCGTGGAGATGGTGCTCCCGCCGGTGCAGGTGCTCAGGCTGAGGGTGCCCGCCAGGCCTGCCCCAGGTTGGCAAGAAGACAGACTGCTCCCGAGCACCTACTGCGTGCCGGGTGCTGTCGATAACCGGCACAGTCACTGCTAAGGCCCCCGCTGCGCCTCGGGGAGGGCAGATGCCTGCGCAAGGCTGCGTGTGCGCCCGCGAGGAGGGCCGGCTTGCTCAGCCCCGCAGTCCCTGCACGGTGCGCGGCACAGGGGTGCTCACTTAACAGTCTGTGGAGAGAATTTGATTTTGGGCAGTTCTGTCTGGAAGGTCCAATCTGAGGTAGAACGTCCGGTGAAAACACCCAAGCATGGGGTTGCCGTGACTGAAATACGGCCGCCGGCGGGGAGGCAGCCGGGTGCGTAGCTTCTGCCGGTCCTGGACGGCGGCAGCTGCCTCCAACACACGCACCGGCATCTCTGTCTCTTCGGGGGGCAGGTTGTTCCGCTTCCCTCACATCTCCCTCTTCTCATCTGAAAACTGGGGCAGAATTGGCTCACCTGGGCTGCTTTAAGGGCTGAGCCATGGCGAATCCCTGCGCAAAAGCCAGGCGGTGGCCGGGCTTGGAAGGGGCCGCCCCTGGTGGCCGCCCCGCCTCCTCTGCTTCTCTGGCCCTGGGCCTTGGGGGCCCCTCCCCTCCCCCCCAGACTGGACCCGGCTCTGCCCTGGCCTCGGCTCTGGTCCTTTCCTGGGTCTCACATGGGGCTTGTTCCCGCCTCTGCTGCTGGGGGCGCCCTGCCAGCCCCGAGCACTGTCAGTCACCGGGTCTCTCACCCCCGCATGCTCGGGGTGTACTTCCATCCTTAGGCTGTGGGGCAAGGTGGGGAGGCTGGGAGGACCCCATGCTGTGGAGAAAGGCACTGAGTGTCAGTGTGAATGGTGTCTGGCTGAGAATGAAAACAAAGGCCTGGCTGCTAAATGAGTGAGGTCCTAGTATGTGTTCCACATCGCATTTATGGGAGCTCAAGGAGGTGATGTGTGGCACTCAGCTCTGGCTCTCTGGCTCTGGGCTCACAGTGGGAGTATATTACTAGCCTCCTGGATGTAGGGAATGTCCATGTGACTTGCTCTGCCAATGAAATGTGAGTAAAAATGGCAGGTGTTACAGTGGGTGAAAGCATTTTAAGATCCGCCCATAACCCACCACATCCTCCTCTTCTGGGGAACCAGAAGATGGGGCCTCTGTCGGCCGGGGGCTCCGAGTGACTCTGGTGACAGGGCCTCGCCAACCCTGGCACACAGGTGGCACGGTGAGAAGCAGCCCTTTGCTGTTGCACCTCTGAGATCTGGGGGTGCTGGCCAATGCCGCATAACCTAGCCTACGCTGACCGACAGGTGAGACTGTGTCCAAGTCCCTGCACAGCATGCACACCGTTGCCTTTATGCCAGGTTTAGGCAGAGGTTAGTCAGGAAAGATCCCTGCCCCAAGGGCCTTGCAGCCTAGACACTATTTGAAAGGAAGCAGCCCACTCTGAGCCTGCGGGAAGGGCGGGTCTGCTGTGAGCATGTTGCGTGTCCCCACAGCAGCAACCCCTGCTGTTTGCAACATCCCAAAAAGTGAAGACAAAGCGGGGACAGAGGGTTAGCTCGATGGCAGCTCTTTCGCGGAAGAGGGAGCAAGGATGAGCTACCCCTGAGAGTGGCGGGGGGTGGACAGGCTGGCTGCAGAATTATGTGTTCTGGGTCACTCTGGGATTTATTGCCACATTTCATTATTAGGTCTCCAGGGAATGCAGAAAACAATAATAGACCCAGATACAATAGAGTAATTCCTCTTTTACACCCCCACTCAGACCACAGCTTTCCTGCAGCCGGAGGGGTGAGGCTCCTGTCTGCGGATGGCTCGGGGCTTGGATGTTAAACTGGCCGGGCTGCTTGAAGCCAGCCGGGCGAACTGGAGCAACTCAGATGTGGAGCAGCAGCTTCTGGCAGAGGGCGACTAACTCACCCAGGATTACAGCCAGCTGGCGGCCTGAGGCTGCGCCCCCAGAGGGCAAGCGGGTCCCGGGTCCCGGGAGGGTGCTGTGGGGAAGGAGCCTTCCACAGGAGGGCGCAGTGACTGCACAGGACCTGCAGCCCTCACCCTCTGGGGAAGGCCCGCCCCCTCCGGCAGGTCTGAGGCCTGAGCCACCGCTTGGGTGTGGGGGCTCTGAGACACGCAGAGAACTCTCCAGGGAGTCCCTGCCTCTCGTCAATGCTCAGCAAGGGAGACTGGGCCCCTGTCACGTGCCACCTTCACAGGCACCACGGCAACTATTCCCCTCATCTTCTGTGCTATGACGACTTACTGGGGTCTCCCCTGCAAGGAGCTTCAGGTCAGTGGGGCGACTGCCCCAACTCACTCCCGTTCACCTGCCTTGTGTCCACTGAATGCCCAGAATGTGCTGGGCACAGGGTCAGGCGTGGAGACAGGGATGAGAAACGTCCTCACCGGCCCGCCAGTGCTGAGCTTGGGGCCAGTGCCGCTGCCGGGACTGCTCAGGGGAGCTACTGTCAGGACGGGCGCCTGGCCTCTGTGGGAGGGCCTCAGGAGCGCTGGCGTGGGTTACTAGGGGACCGGCAGGACAGACGTGTCACCAGTCACCACACTGAGACCAGTGCCAGGGAGGGAAGGGGCCCGGGCGGGGCGGGCGAGGTCCGGCCAAGACCTGTTCTGCCACCTGCTGGCTGTGTGGTTGGGGTGATCAGTGTGTGGAAAGGTGGAGACGCCGCGTCCTGCAGGCGTGTGCTGCTGTGACCCCGGACTCCACTCTTGCTACTGCGGCTGCTGTTTAGCTCCCACAAAGCAAGACTTCCACAAGCGGGATGAAGGATGGAGAGGAGCATATGCCTGAGGGCAGGAGTGGCGGGGCTGTGAGCGCTCGGCCGAAGCGGTTCACGCGCGCTTGTGGCTGTGCATGGGGTGGGCTACCGGCTGCCCAGTGCTCACTCTTCCAGCTCCCCCCTCCAAACACCAGAGACGCCTCCTGCCATGACTGGAGGACACTGCCCTTCCTGGGCCCAGCCTGTCCACTCGGCGCTGGCTCTTGTGTCAGGCTCCTGCCCTCCCCGTCTCCCTCCACGCACCTCAGTCCCTGTCACAGGCCACAGAGACATCAGACAACGCTCTGCCACCCCTGAGCAGACCCCTGTGCCGGGGGCCACCCCTCCTCAGTGCCCTTCAGCTCCAGTGGGTGACCCCACATTGCTCAAGACTTAGCCACGGTACAGTGGTGAGGAGGGCGGGCTCTGGGTTGGAGCCTGGTCAGGAAGCAAGGGGCGCCGCCCCTCCCCCGTGGCTGTGAGGCCTGCTGAGATCCTGCCAGCCGGCCCTTGGGGCCTGCGGGGTGCCTGCTGGGGCCCACTGCCAGCTATGCCAGCTCCCTGAGCACGCGAAACGGGCCAGGCGCAGGGAGGCAGGGTGCGACATCAGCCTGGCGAGTGGGGCTCACAGTCTAATGCCGGGTGGATGCGTTCACGCTCACGGTCTCATCTCAGCCTCCCTGAGAGGCGGGCGCACGCTGCCCCATATTCAGGTGAGGAAACTGAGGTTCAGAGAGGCTAAGGAGCCAGCCCGACGGCAAGTCAGTGCCAGCCCCATCCAGGCCTGTCAGTACCGAAGCCCCGGTGCACCACGAGGGCCCAGGCGCTGAGGAGGCCACCAGGAGGGAGGCGGGAAGGAAGCTGCTCTGCGAGCCACCCCAGAGGCTGAGGGGTGGGGACACCCTGTCACGCTCAGCAGCCTGTCTCCGAGAGGCCACGGGACCCTGGCCCAGTTTCCAGCCTCACACCCTGGGGCAGCTGTTGCCCTCCCTTCTAATCCACGGGTCAAATGGGAGTTGGATCAGGAAGGGAGTTGAAGGCTGGCACGTGAAGTTCACATGTGATTTATGCTCACTGGAGCCAAAGACCTGCCCTTCTCTCAACCAACAAGCTTCCTGTTCACCAGATGGCTGGCTGCGAGAAGCAGCAGCCTGGCTGGGAGACAAGGGCGGGGCAGGATGACAGGACAGGGCAGGATGACAGCACAGGGCAGCAGCTTTTCAAGGGCCGCCCCGGGGGAGCCAGCCGGGGTGGGGATCTGCAGCCACCCCCAGGCCAGCAGGGCTGCCCCAGCCCGGAGGCTGCTAGACAACGCGCAGCCCAGGACTGAGCACTGGGCGGGCCGCCTGACCCCTTCTTCTGCTCCGCCCAGGGGTGGCATTTACTTGGTGCCGAGGGAGAGCAGAGCAGAGCTGAGCAGAGGCCGAGCTGACCCCACAGCCTGGGCTTCCCTCACTGGGGTCCAGAAGGGTCAGCCGTCTCGCCAGTGGGGTGACTGCACCCAGAGGGTCGCACCCAGCTGGCCATAAGCCCAGGTAGGCCATCTGCAGGGGCACAGCAGGAAAGGCCGGCAAGGGGAGTCTTTCTGACTGGCTCTCTCAGCCAGCTGACAGGGCTCGCGATCCCGGTGGAGACCCTCGGGCCTGGGCGTGCGCCCGGGAGGGTTTCCACTGGACTCACCCTTCTCCTGAGCCATTTCTTGCAGACAGAAGTAGATGACTCTGGCTCCCAGGCTGAAGCCAATCAAGGACACGGGTCGCCGACCCTGGGGAAGAAGGGACGTGGGTGTCAGGGGCACAAGCACTTCTGGCACAGTGTCTGCCCTGCAGGGCCCCCGGGCCCCCTCAGCACCTGCCTCATGCCTATGATCAGGTGGCCCCGGGCGGGGAGGCCTCAGCGAGGGCACCTCCCAGGCCACGGGCAGCCTCCGCGGGGCTCCCTGTCACGGCCACATCCAGCCACGTGGCCTTTCCCAGGAGACAGGGCCCATCGGTGGACACCTGGCCTCTGTGCCTGGTGGCCAATGACCTCGGTGACCAGAGGCCTTCTAGAGCCAGGGAGAGGAGGTGGGAGGCACCCCTAGGTGTGAAGGGGTGACACTGGTGAGACGGCTGTCCCTTCTGGACAGGAAGGTTGGGGCTGAAAGACTGGCCTCGGAGAAGGCAGAATGGCAGGTGTGTGGGAATTTCCAGTCTCCAGAACTTGTCAAGGAGGCAGCGCCTAAGAAAGGGAAGGTTATCTGGGGTGTTAGGGAAAAAGCTTTACGTGGAAGGACAGGAAGGAGCAGGTGAGCTCCACAGGCCCACCTGGGGTCAACCACCCCACTTACTACAATAGAAAATCCTAATAAATAGTCTTCTAAGATTTGTCCTGATTTCCATTTCTTAGAAGACTATTTACTAGGATTTTCTATTGTAGTAAGGGGGGCGGAGTGGGGAATGGGATCAAAAACGGGGTGGGGGGAAGGAGGGAAATGCACGGGATTATGGTGATGGCACACGGATGATTTGGTGATGGGAAACCCGCGGGGATTACAATCGAGATGGAAAAAAAATGTACAAAATGATGTAAAAATAAACTTTTGTAATAAAAAAAAAAAAGTCTTCTAATCCACGGAGCTTGATGGCAAAGGCTGCAGGGTCGCTCCCAGCCCCTTCCCCCGTCCTCTGGTCTGAGGACTCTCCCTAACCCTGTGCATGGTATTTGTACTGCTGAAGGCTTGTTCTGAGGGAAGCTCTCGACTTTGAGGAAGGAACAGCTGGCCGTGTCCACCCCTGCTGCTCAGCGCTCACCCACGCCCTTGCCAGAGAGCCTAGAACTCTTACTGGTCCGTCATAGGACGCTTCTGTGGTCTGAATGGGAGAGAAGCGAAGACCGCCCCCATCCCTGGCTACCTCCCACGGCTTGTGTCCAGGAGTGACCTGTCGGCCCCAGGCCCACCCCGCACCCAACGCGTGGCCATCACCAGGTACCTGCTGCCGGGAGAGCAGGACGTGTGCCAGGTGCTTGCCGACCTCTGCTGACCGGTGGAGACACACGCTCCAGGGGTTGTCAATGACGTTGGCGACAGTGAGGAGCGAAGCCGGCCAGGTCAGGGCGGCCACGATGCCTGCGGGGCGGGAAGCGTGATGAAGGCCGTGACGCCCTCCAGGAGCGGTGCTCGGGTGCAGGTTGCAGAGCCTCCGACGCGGGCCCTGACGGATTCCCGGCGTCCTCAGACCCAGTGGCGAAATGGCAGCTCACGCGCCTCTGGCCATGGGCTCGACCCTTCGGGTCAGTCTGTCATGCGTGTGGTTGCAAAGACGGCCCCAGGTGGTCACCACCTGTATCCGGCCTGTCTCTCCGGCAGGCCAGGCTCAGTCACGAGACCGGCTTTGGCCAGTGAGCTGTTAGCAGACGTGAGGCCTGCAGCGGACCTGTGCGCGGATGGGGCGGGTCGCTGACCCGGGAGGGCGAAGGACAGACGGAGCAGCGCGGAGTGTACCCCTGCCCCGGATGGGGCTCGCCCAGCTCAGGGCGCAGATGCGTGGTTGGGCCGGGCCCAGGTTACCCCACCGAGGCTTCCCGACTCCTCGGCTATTTCGAGAATGACCGTTGCAAACACTGAGTTTTAGGGTGACGTGTGATGCGGCATCCGCGAACGGTCACGCCACGTGATGATGTGACAGGCTGCTTGCTGTCAGCTCCCCATGGACACTGTAAGCCTCTCAGGACAGCCTTGGCTCACCTCCTGGGGGCCTGGGCGCACGCAGATGTGGTAGCTGAGTGTGGGGCTGGGGTCTGTGCTGGCGGCAGGGCGCGGGAGGCTTACCAGACAACACCGTGTACTTCAGGGCCTCCTGGGCTACCATGTTGGCAAGGCCACTCAGGATGGTCTCCAGGCTGTTGCCGAGCTCCATCAGGTACTTGGCCTCCCAAGCCAGGCAGTACTGCTCACGGCTGCGGGCCAGGGCGGCCCACGGGGCGCTGAAGGTGCCTGGGGAGGACACAGGGAGCTGGGGTCTCTCCTGGCCTGACCACTTTGCCAGACAGGCCACAGGGGACCACGTACCCTTGGGGAGAGGGAAGGGTCCACCCCCTGCCTGGAGAGCAGACCGCGCCCAGACGGAGCCCGGCCACCTGGGCTCTGCAGGCCAGGGCTCGCGGCCCCGTCTCTGCGTCCATGGGAAGCGGGTGAGGGCATGGCATGCCCCCCGGGGCCCACCGGCCACTCTGCGGAGAGGCCACTGAGCAGCTGGGAGTGGACGTGTGCAAGCCGCCGTTTCTTTCCACCCTGGAGTGATCCCGGCGCCGGCTGCTGAGGGCGCTGGAGTCATCTCAGGGCGAACAGAGAGGCTGAGTCGGGATGTTTGGGCCCGCTCAGCCATGGTCTCCCCAGTTTTCCTGAACCTCAGTTTTCTCCCTGAGTGGAGGATGACGACAGCACCCCCACAGCAGAAAGCAGGGCCACAGGTGCCTGCGTGGCTCCAGGGCCTCCCTGTGCCCAGAGGACGGCGTCCCTTCCCCCGTGCGACAGACACTGGGGCCCTCCGTGACCTGTCCCCCGCCACCTTCACAGCCTCATGGGTTATCCCCTCCCTAACCTACATTTTGCCCCACAGAAACACACGATTCTGGTTTGTCTGCCTGCTGGTTACCACCGCTAACGGCGCCGATTAGGGGCCTGGCCCAGGGCACGGGCGGGGACCGAGGGGGGTGCCCGGGCAGGGGCTGCCTTCACAGGGACTCTTCCCTGTAACCCTCTCAGGGGTGCCTAAAGAAATGGGATGCCGCAAGGAGCCCCGCTTGCCAGTCCAGGAAATGGGTGCCCTGGGTAAGAGGGCTGCAGTCCAGGGAGGGGGCGTGCCAGCACCGCAGTCACCCAGCTCTGGGAGGGGGCGGGGGCTGTGGGAGCTCAGGGACCCCGATCTGGCCCCCACACTTTCCCACCTGTGGCTGAGTGACCGTTTCTTGTCCTGGAGCTTTCAGTCCAAATGCCGCATCGGGCAGCTTCTTGGCCCCCCTAAGGTGCCCTCTGCGCCTCCCCTAGGTTCTCGCTTATTTCGCGTCCTCTGGGGACTGCACGTGTCTCCCACAGTGCAAGATCCCGGACGCCCGGTGGCGTGGTGCGTGGTCAGCACACACGGAAACATGATGAATGGCGGCAGTTCCCCACAGGGACTCCCTGCCAGGCCGCAGGCCTCCGCCCACCCGGCCATGCTGCGTGGACACGAAGACCATCCTGGGGCTGCCCCCCCACAGGTGCAGGGCTGCCGGGGCTCGTGTGCAGTGTGGGCGGGGGCCCCGGCATGTGGACACTGGCCGGGGCTGCGGGCCGGGAGCTCCCTGGCGGCATGACTCACCGCTGGGCACGCTGCCCTCTGAACCTCGCTCTGCACCTGCTAGAGCGAAACGACAGCTGACTCACCGCCTCATGGGGGTCAGGTGAGGAGCGGCAGGCACATCAGTCTCCCTTCCTCCTTCCCCGGAAGCCCTCTGGGCCTGCCCTAATGCGCCATCCACAACGCCTCCCCCGTCACTTGCTTATGGTCTGTTCCTGCCGTGGGCCGTGTCCCGCGGGAGCAGGCTCCGTGGTCAGCACGTGGGTTCAGTGCTCTATAAATACCCCTGAGTCCACGGACCGGTGGCGGGGGAATGGACGGGTGGATCTGTGTGTGGATGAGCCAGGTGGATGGGCGGAGGATGGATGTGGGGCGAAGTCATCTCACGTGACATTTGGGTTTCCTTTTTGCTAGCAGGGCTCCCCCGCCCGCCTCCTAGAAACACGCTGGCACGAGTCTAGGCACAGCAGGCCCCGCTCAGCCAAAGCCCACGCCCAACCCCCGCCCCTCCCGTCGCTCCCCGTCTTACGGTATCTGCCGGACGCCAGCCAGCCCGTGATGGCGATGGTGATGTGCAGCTGCCTGCCTTCTGCCAGGGGCAGAAAGGTGAACTCTTCGATGGCCCCCACACGCTTCTTCATCTTATATCCTACAGACGCAGACAGGACAGGATGGCGGTGTCTGGGGACGTTCAAAGAGCTCGCTTGTGCGCGCTCACGGTAATCTCTGTCCCTGGACCCACCCCTCTCACTTTCTAGCTCCAAGGCAGGGGCATCACTGTTCCTGACATGACCACATAAGCAGCTTCCACAGGCCGCCGGTCCCGGGGGGCAGAGCAAGACAGGACTCAGCCCTCCCGGGCGTGCAACCGCTCCCTGACTCCGCTGGTTTTGTATTTTTTCCCTGTAATAACGTTAGAGGGGCAACACTCTCCTCTCAGGAAATGTGGGCTCAAATGACCAACATTGCAATGCGGGGCACGACACCCCCTTGGGGTGTGGAGTGGAATCTGTGAGGAGGGGGCTGCTGATCCCGGATTTAGAACTCTCCAGGCAACACTGGTGGCAGCCAGGGCCACCAGCTCCCTTCGGAGACGAAGCCCAGGTCCCCGGGGAGGGCCAGGTCACGCTGTGACAGACTGTCACAGAAGGCTCCAGAAGGTGCCCGTCCCCACCGCGCCAAGCCACTGGCCCAGCTCGGTGCGGCGCCTGCTGCTGGGCTGGGATGCAGCGTGAGGAAACCGTCTCTGCCGTCTCCCCTGAGATGGCCACGTGTCTGCAAGGCTGGGGCCCGCCTGGCCGAGACCCCCGAGCTCACCGTCCCTTTTAACCTTACCTGTCAGGCCGGCTCCCGCCGCGCCGAACAGCGAGGTCATGACGGCTATGCCGGCCGCTGAGCCCAGAGCCGCCGCCCCGGCACTGCCAATGATGGTCGCGGCTCCGGCTGCAACCAGAGGGGCGGCCAGACCTCCGGTGACACCTGCAAGCAAAGCAGCCCACAGTGGGCAGCGGTGGGGTGAGAGGAACAATAAGGAGCAGCCTGGGCGTCGGTGACCGACACCCCGAGAGGACTCCGTCTCCTGGTGACCTCCGCCCTCCACGGCCATGCTAGAGACCCCAGCTCCCAGAATTACAACTCGCAGCACACCATGAACCTGCCTTCCTGGAAGAGGGGCTGCTGGGAGCGAGGGGGCAGTTACTGGCCACTCTGGCCTATATGGACACGTCCGTGCTCTTGCTTTATTTCTGGTTTCGACTTGTGCCCTGGTTCTGCTGCGGCAGAGACGCACAGAGGGGAGACTCGGGGACACCTGGAAGAGAGACCTGGGAAAGAGACGTGGTTGGCAGACACGTGGGGAGACGGCTCTGGCCCCTGGCGAGACGACGGCGGCTACTATCTTGACCTCATATTGTACTGCGGGCTGTATGTTGAATTCCGCGTCTCTCCTTCCACCCCAGCTCTCTGGGACCTGCCTAACCCCTTTCTTGTGGTTCCTTTCCAGAAGATGCCTTAGACTTTCAGAAAGCTTTTGGGTTCAGCTGCTCTGATTTGGGCCAAGACTGGCTGGACATTGGCCCGCAAGGGGCTGTTACTGAAATTCCTTCTTCTCTTTCTCTGAACAGCAATTCTATTAAAACTCTATCACAAGATGGAGTCTGCACCTTTGCTTTTGTGCATGTGGGTGGCCCAACCCCTTTTAGAATATCTACCCCTCAACAGTTTGGAGGTCCCCGGATACCCCTCTGTCACCTGCTAACAGCGGGAGTGGGATACGGGCTGCCGTATCCCCTGCCAGACACTTCTATTTTCATGAAGAGGTTTCCTGCTGGCAGGGCACCTACTGTGTGCCGCCTCCCAGTGGATCCCCTACTCTGTCCACGCTCTGCCTGGCGTCTCCCCTCGCTCTGCTCTTCCCTGGTCCAAGGGCCACCGGGCTCCTACCGATCACTGTCCCGCCTCCGACAGTCGCCAGGCCTATCAGGAGATAACGCTTCCATTTCCGGCGGGTTTCTTTCTTCTTCCGGGATGCTTCAGCAGTCCTAAGGGGAGAAGAGGTTGGTCTTGGGGGTCAGGTTGAGACCTTCCGCCTCACCACCCCCCAGACTGGGATCAATGCTGGGGACTCTGCCATGCAGCACAAGGAGCCAAGGTCACCCTGAGCCCGGCAGTGTCTGGAGAAGCTGAGAACATTCTAAAAGCCAGCTGGGGAATCCCAGCATGTGGGGTAGGCTACTTACCCAAGGGGTCCATCCTAATGGGGTTGCGATTTGAATAATGAAAAGACAGTAAGATAATAGCAAAAGAAGCACAAAAAACTATCTTTAAACAGATGGACCCAGAACAGGTACCAAAGAGAACCACAAATTCCATCACCTTCCTCTTCCCCCCTCCCCCCCCACCCCTACCCCACTGGTCCAGCTCTGTCTGGGATATCTGCAAACCAGTTCCCTTCATTACAACCATTTCAAAGATGGGTCAGAGAAATGCCCGCACTGGCCATGTCGGCCTTGAGGCAACAGCACAACTTGCTCCTAAGACTAAGGCCAAAGTGGCAGCAGATTGTCATGGATCAGTAATCACTAAACGCTACTGGACCAGATTCACAGACTAAAAGACACAGGATATCTGGCTGGACTAGGAAACAGCCTGAAACCCACATGCTCTAATGTGCACGGCAGGAAAGCATTTGGCATGGGGAGGGGGCCGGTGGATTCTGGGGTGCCATGGTGTGCACTCGGGGCGCCGCTCAGCCCTCTTTTCCTGTCGGACACTCAGCCCTCAGTGCGCTGGGGCAAGCTGGGGACCGAGGACGGGTCGGTGAGGTCGTTACCAGCACGAACTCTGAGCTAAGCTGGGGTTGGCGCCACTTAACTGGGAGGGAGGCCGAGGATAAAGACGGGAGCTGGATACCGCTCGAGGACTTCCCGTTGGCTGGGCGCTGAGCCTTGATGTCACACGCTTATCTCACGCCAGAGCAGTTTTGTTCTTGCCTCCATATTATATGCAAGTGCAGGGGAACAGCAGCCTCTGCTGGGCCCTGGGACCACTGAAACAATGTCTCGAGTATTTAGCAGAAAGACACCTCAAGGCGTGGCAGCTGCTGCGTGGACTTATCACACTGCTGCATCTCCTTGGGCCTCAGTTTCCTCTTGTAAAATGGGGACAATAACATCCACCTATCAGGTGTGCGTGTGAAGAGTAAACTCACTCCTTTACCCGCTCAGTCAGCACACTCCCACGGACAGCGGGCCACGTGCTGGCCCTTCTGATTGTGCGTATCAGTGAGCAGCACGATGTGGGGATTCAACCGGCAACCAGCCCTCGCGTGCTCCCATCCGTCCTCACGAACTGTACGTTACTGGGAGATGGGTCACCTCCCGCTCATCGAAAACCAGGGGCCTGAGCTGGGTGTTCAGGGTCTGCTACGCTTTTTGCTCACTGCCAGCTCATCACAATGGCTTTTGCCTTCAGTGCCTCCTTCCTGGGGATAGCCACGGCGCTTCTCGGCAGAGAAGCAGAAGCCAGAGACAAATATTTCTGTGCACACCATGGAGCGGTTTGCCATGGTGGAAACTGGCGCCACCAGACATGGGGGCGAGGCTGAACCACATGCGTCTGTGGTGATGGCGACCCTGGGATCTGAAGTCAGCAGGCAAGCCCCGGGGGGCTACAGGGCCCGAGGCAAGCCCTGTAGGGCTACAGGGCCGCGTCCTGCTTGTGCCGCGGGTGGAGGTCACCACTCACCAAGCTGTCCCTCCCTGCACAGCGCGTCCTCCCAGAGACAGCAGACAGCCCTGTTGAACAATGAGCTTCCGTGATGCTTTCTGGGCACTGAAATGTGGGTGCAAGGGGTGTGTGCCAGGGCCAGCAATGTTTCCTTTTACGTGGCCCCGAGACCTGCAGCCTTCCACAGACAGGTCACACTGTGGACGTGGGACCCACACAAGAGCCTGTGTCTGCTGAGAAGATGCCTAGGACTAGAGTCTCTGGGTGGCGGGTAGGTCTGGAGTTGGAAGGGATCGTGCTCCGTGAAGTAAGTCAGAGAAAGAAAAACTATCAGGTGCTTTTACTTAAGGGTAGAATACAGGGACCCTGAACAAAGGGTCAGGAAAAAGGCCAAACTGGCAAGCTGCGCAGGAGGGGAGAAGGGGCACCATGGGGAAGGGGGGGCACAGAGGGCTACAGGGGGGGCTCACCAGCCGTGTGCCGGTGGGAGGCGCACGGGCGACGCCCAAGGGGAGAAATCAGATAGTGCGGAAAGGAACAATGTCGTAAGCAATAAAGACCGGGGCCCTCCCTGGTGGCGCAGCGGGTTAAAGCACAGCACTGAGGAGCTTAAGCCACTTCAGCATGAGTTTGATCCCCCTGCCCCGGAGGTGACCACAGGGCGCGGCAGACCTCTCCTGGCCGCCCGCTGCTCCCCTCAGCAGTGTACTTCGTCGATCTGCCTGTTCTGCTCCCCACTCTGTCTCTGGTGAAGCCTCTCGCCCTCCGTTCTGGCCTGTACCCCAGTTCTGTATGCACAAATAAATAAATCTTATAAAAAAAAATAAAGACTGAGGACTGGACGCTGCACCGTCTGCAAGGGGCCTGTCTGGAAGAGCTGCGCCTGGGCCGCGGCAGCGACAGGGCTGCAGCCGATTGTTACTGCGGCTGGGCTGGCCTATGCCGGCGGGTGCAGTCGCCTCCGTGGACGTGGCGGCTGCCGTGTCCCGCGTCCCGTGTGGGCTTCTTCGTTCAGCCGGCGGGGACAGAGCCAGCACCCAGTCCCGGGGGTGCCGTGAGGGCTGTGCGATCACCCGCCTGCACTCGCGGGGCACAGGGATAGCGGGGTACAGTGTGTTTGCTGATGCTATCATTCCTCTCGTCCTTAAGATAATTTCCTCCCAAACATGGGTTGCAGGTATACTTTGGCCTCTAATTGCCAGCGCCGCTCAGTGCCAACAGAAAGGTTGGAAATTAATTGCTTTTGGCAGCGTTCAGGGGAGAATTCAGCTGCTGAGGATGTACACAGGGCGCGCGTCAGGAGAGTGGCTGGAGTCAGACCGGGTGGGAGCTAGTCTGGAAGTTTGGGCCCTGCTCAGCCATGATCCCACCTGTGTTTCTGAACCCCCGTTTGCTCACTGAGGGCTTGGAAATGGAGGGTGATGAAAGCACCCCGCAGTGGCCAGCGGCAGGCAGCAAGTGGGCCCCGTGTCTGCCGGCTCCCTTCTCAGCCTTACTGCTCATCACTCCCCAACTCTATGGCCAGAAACGCTGAGCAGCCTGCAGGGACACGGCCCCCGCCCTTGCCTGTGTTCCGGTTGCCCTTGATCGCCAAGGGCCTTCTCACCTTCCTCCATCCGGGTAAACATGACTCATCCTCCTAGAGTCACCCCCTCCAGGAAGCCGACCGGAGCCCCAAGGTTGCACAGATGCCCTGACTCAGGCCCTCTACAACTTTGCACTGTCATAGCCTGGACTTCTAGACTTTTGACTCTCAAAGGGGGGCTTTGGGTGAGCTGCGGGGCACTTTAAAAGTACAGCTTTCTGGTGCAGCTCTGGGCGTGAGGTGAAGAAGTGGGAATCTGTTATCTGTTGAGAATTGCAGGCCGAGCCCTCAGGGCACAGATGGGGCGTCACTCGCAGCTGGCAGGGGCCTGGAGAGTCTCAGGAAGTGATGCTGGAGCAGCCTGATCACGGCAATGAGGACTGAATGTGCCAGCTGGCTGCAGGGATCGATTCTCCCACTCGCTGTCCACTGTGTGTGACAACCAGAGGGGTCGGGGTGGCCACCTACAGTCATCGCTATCGGGGGGATGACTTCTGGGGTGTTAGCTCAAACCTGACACGACAGGCAGTAACAGCTGCTACAGAGGCACTATAGAGGGCCTGGCTAAGTGCTTGACATTTCGCAGTGCCAGCTGCGTCTAGATCCCTCCTGTGGTGACATCTGCACATCTGTGGTATTGCTTTTAGCTGAAGTAACAGCCCCGAAGGCTGTTCTAAATGAATGAATGCTACCTCATCAAGGCAGTCTTCTAAGGGGAGGATGGACTGTTTACCTGCTGTCTAGTATTCTGCTGTATATTGTTAAAGTATTTATAAATGTTCGAGAATCAGAGAGAACGTTTTTCCTGAAGTGATTCAGCGAAGGCACTGTCTCTCATGCTCACCTACATTGCCAATGGACCTCCCTATTATTAAGTTCCTGAAGTAACGTAACTCCTTGGTACATGGAGTCGCTTTCCCAGCCATCACCAACTGCCACATTTTGCTCCTGTAATTACTCCAGTTGTCTGAACTTCCACATCTGAAGCAAGGGGAGATGTGAGCTCTGAGCTATGATGCTTCTGGTGTTTGGATGTTAATTCAGGTGAAACACTAAATAAGTGGATTCCTCTCCCTATTGCTGACTCTGCTCGCCGGTGAGACTCCCTGGCAACCATCATCGTACAGTCCCTGGCCACACTCCCACCTGGGTGCTACAAGTGACCTGCGTGGGCCTTCCACATCGGCCTTCCCAAGAGCGCTGAGGTCAAGTCACAGATTTGGCCCAAAGCGCAGAGGAAGCCACAGGCCCCAGGGGAGGGGGAGGTACCCACACAGCCACCCCCAGACTGCAAATATGTTCTGCTTCTGCTGGCCGCATCTTATCTCCACAGAGGGTGCTCCTCACCCTTATCACCCTCGCCATCACCCTCTTCCAGCTGACAGAGGGGGAGGGCTTCTCCCAGATGGCTAGCGACACTCTCCCAGAGAAGGCAGGAGGCCCTGCAGCGGACTGTCTTCACTGCCTTCTTTACAACTAAAGCGGGGCACTGGGATCGCCAGCCCTGCCTGAGCTCGGCGGTTAGCTGACGTCAGACAGCATCTGGTGGTTGAATCAGAGGCTGCCACTGGTCAGCTGTGTGGACTGGGGTGGTCCTGTCAACCTGCTGACTGCTTCTCCAGCTGCCGCATTGGCGGGAGACTGCAAAGAGCGCTCCACAAAAGAGGCCATCAATGTCACGACGAGGTCATGAGCGTGAGCCTGCAGCGGTGCGTCCGCTGGCTCTTCGGGGCCCACTGTGCGCCGGGCTCTGTCCTAGGCTCCCCACGTGTGAGAGTGAACTGAGTCAGCACCCCTGGCCCCAGGGCGCTACGACCTTTATTCCCACGTTAGAGGAGAAGCAGCTGAGGCACAGAAGTCAAGTGGCCAGTAAGTGGGCCACTAGGCCGGCCTCAGGCTCAGGCGGGGGCTGGCATAGCACCACACCGAGCCAGGATCAGGGTGAGCGCGGTAACCTCACCTCGCAGAAACAGGAACCCTCGCAGTTAAAGGAGACCTCGTGCCATGCGATCCTCCACTAGTGTCAGTGTAAACACGGGCGCGGGTGCCCGGAGAGAGTGACGTGGCCAGGGCCCCTCAGAGGCTGTCAACGAAGAACTAGGCCTCGGGGTCACGCGTCCCTACTCTGTCCCCGGGTCTCAAGCCCTTTCCAAGACCACAGACAGAACCAAGAGATCTCCAAAAGCCTGGAATTAAGTAAACAATCACATACGGGCAGTCTTTCCTGAGGAAAGGGCCCAGCCAGGGTAATGAGAGCAACGGCCGGAGACGGTCGTCACGGCGCACAGGACTTCTCACCCACACTCCTGTGAGCCACCGCGCCCAACCTGTCCCACGCAGGCACGCACGTGAGCCCGAGCGGGAGGGTGCTCCGACTGGGCCCATTAGCAGTGAGGAAACTGAGGCCCAGCCAAGCCAGGCCACTCCCCAAGACCACACAGTGGCCAGAGGCCCAGGCTGGGCTGTGCTGGAACCTCTGTTCTGCATGGCCCTGCTCTGGCATTGCGACATCGGAGCAAATGCTCTGGGCAAGATACTTCTGACAAGACTTCCAAACAGCAGGGAGGGTTTTATTTCAAGGTGTAGAAGATCCCTCCAACACCCAATACGGCCAAAGAACCCAGGCCGAGCTGTGGTCCCGGAGCCTGGCCTAGACCCCGACTTTCTCTACTGACTCAGACCTGGGAGTCAAAACAAGTCTGGTTTCAGCTTATTTCAACAGACCAAGTTCCCTTTCCCCAGCAAACACGCTCCCCTTTGCCCTACAAACCCTGCCGGCAGGGCGGCTCTTAACTCGGCTGCCACCGGCAGGTCGGGCAGGTGCAGCCGGGCTCTCAGAGCCCAGGGCCGGCGGACGTGCCTGCTGCAGGGAGCCCGCAATTAGGCTGCACCTGCGACTGACTTGTTGCTCTGGGATTAGGTGCTCTGTGAGATGTCTGGCAGGGAGCTGAGTCTGGCCAAGTCCCAGGCTAATTTCCCCCGTACGCGCCTGAGCACACGCACGCTCCCCTCGGGGAGGTGCAAGGGCGGTGGGGCAGGGCAGGACTCACACCTGCGAGCCTGCTCCGCGCCGGCCTTGGGCGAGCGCTGTGCCATGTGATCAGAGTCCTTCTCCACAGTGACCCTGTCACCCCCTGGGAGGAGGCTTCCCCAGGGCTGTTACAAATAAGGGGCAGCTGGGTGCCAGGGGTGGACTCTGAGCCCAGGCCATGGGCAGGGTGCAGGGGCCTCGGGATGGTCAAGTCGCAGATCAATGACAACCCGGACGGGGTCTGTGACCTTGCCACGGTCACAGCCCGTCGGGGTTGCCTCACTGCACCAGCTCCTAGACGGGTTTGGGGCCCGGGGCTCCCTTACTCAGATTCTTCCTCTTTGGTCTCCTTCAGGCTCTCAAGGAACGTTTCCTCCAGCAGGTCCAGCTCCCCCAGGGGCACGTGGAGGAGGGTGCTCACGTGGCAGATGAGGACGCGGGCCCGTGCGTCATAGTGCCCTGGAGAGAGAAGTGGGCAGGGGTCAGCTCAGCGCGAGCACAGACGTGGCTTTTGGTTTTCGTCTGAAAATGGTTCCACATCCCACCTGCCTGAGTGGCATAAAGAACCTTTCCTGAAGCAACAAGTCAGGCGAATTACTTTCAGCCGCGCCAGGCGTCTTCCTACACCATCCCGCACTCCAGAGCTCAGCTTGGGGGGGCAGTTGTGCGGCAGGCCTCTGTCACACCTGTACATACACGTCCTGCACAGGGGAGCTTGTTCCCTGGAAGCAGAAGGGTGAACAGAGCACCGCAAACCCTGCTCACAGGAGTGTTACCACTGTGGCGGTGAAATCCAAACCCTAGCGCACAGGCCTTCGGAACCGGTCGGCCCAAGAGCAGCCCGGAAGTGGCACTTTCACCAAGTGAGTAAGGATCTTTTTTTTAAATTTTCTATCCTGAAGCAGCTCAGGGTGATGAAACAGGTGTTAGAAGACATCTGTGGTGGGGGTGTGTCTTGATGGAAACTTTCTGGAAGGCAATTTGGCAGTATGGATCCCAAACTTATAAAAATGCCCACCTCTTGGCCCTCCCTGGTGGCGCAGCGGGTCAAAGCACAGCACTGAGAAGCTAAAGCCACTTCCGCATGAGTTCAATTCCCGCCTGCCCCTGAGGTGACCACATGGCGAGGCAGACCTCTCCTGACCCGCCCGCTGCTCCCCTCAGCAGTGTACTTCGTCGATCTGCCTGTTCTGCTCCCCACTCTGTCTCTGGTGAAGCCTCTCGCCGCCCCTGAGCCTCTGGCCTGTACCCCAGTTCTGTATGCACAAATAAATAAATCTTTAAAAAAAAACGCCCACCTCCCTCATCACAGACACAAAGTAGAGCCGTGGTGGCCCGGATGACAGAGGAGGGCGGGGTTAGGGTTTAACTTGCAGAGTTTCAGCCTGGCCAGAAGAGACCAGGAGAGAGAGACAGGGTCGCTGAGTGCCGCACAGCACCAGACTGGGCTTAATGCCGTTGACTGCGGGCTTAGAAATGGGTAAGACGTGGACTTTCAGGTTATGTGTGTTTTACCACAACACACATATCATTCCAAATCCCCTTGGTCCAGGAACTGCATTTCTGGATTTCTACTCTTAAGAAAACAACCCTCAATGTAGAAAATGGCTAGTACGTGAAGGCCATCTCGCTGAAAGGGGAATCCATCTAGTGGCTTCTAGCATCTGAGGACTCGTTAACCAGGGCATGTCCACTCCGTGGAGAAGCGTGGAGCCCGTGTGGAAGGATCCCTAAGGAAAATGTGCAGTAAGTGGAAAAACGGGTGTGCGATGAAATGCATTTTTTAAATGATTCGCTTTACTTGAGGATAGGATTCCAACTAAGAACAAAAACCCAGCATGGGAAAGAGGAGGGATGAGGTCAAATGTGATTTTCTTTTGCCTTCTCAAAATAATCCAATAACGCCAACTGATTTCATAATTGGAAAAATTAACCTACCAAAATCCATCCAAGGGCTCGCTCAACTCTGTTTGCACAGCCCAGAAGCCAGCAGGACTGAACATCTCCCAGCCAGGACTCTGGACCTGAAAGTGGTCGAGAGGCACCTATCCTATTGAAGAGGCTGCTGTCTCAGGTGGCACACTGGATGGGGTCCTACCAGGGGCGCCCCACTTTATCAGGCGGACCCCAGGACCAGCCTAAGCTGTTGGCGACATCCCCTGCCTGGGTGGTAGAAGGAGCCTTTCTGAGTCTCCTCTTGGGTGCCCACCCAGAGCTCACCACCACCCACACCAGGGGCTACACACTCCCACCCCACCCCTCCCTCCCATCTCCACCTGAAAACCTCTCACGTGTCCATTTCCCGTCTTCCCATCCCTGCCTGGCCTGGGCCAAGCAATCGGCACTGGTCCCTCCACCCGCCCCTCGTCTCTGCCCGCAGGACGCGGTCTGTGTGTCAGGGCCTGCGGAGCTCACCTCGGCCTGCCCCCACACCGGCTCACGGCCTCTGACTACTCGGGGTTTCAGGGGTGCCCTCCCCTGTGATGGTCTCTGTGCCGTCCATGGTGGAGAGGGTGGCTCACTTTTAACCGCCCACTCCCTGCCGTTTTCTAGTGAGGGGCTGTGGCTCTCTTCACCCCTGGGGCCCAGCTTTTCCTGATGTAAGCATAAATGACTCACTGCAGCGCTCATGCAAAGCGAGCTGCATGAGGCCCCATGGTGGGCTTGATGTGTCATCAGCTGGAAACAATATAAATGATCTTGTAGTTCTGGGGGTCAGAAGTCCTAAAATCAAGAGTCACGGGGCTGGCTCCTCCTGGAGCGTCCATGGGAGAGGCTGTCCTTGCCTCTCGGGTTTCCGAGGCTGCTGGCCTTCCCTGACTTGTGGCATCTTCTCTGCGGTAGCTCCAACCTCTGCTTCTGTCTCTCCCGGCCCCTGCCTGACGCAGGCCCTCTGCAGTCCTCCCGGGGGTCCGGTGTTGGGGTGTGTTCACCTGGACAACACAGGCTCATTCCCCAACCTCAAGACCGTCACTAAGTGCACCTGCAGGGTCCCTTCTGCCATGGAAGGTGACATGGACAGGTATTAGGGCGCGGGCATCTTTGGGGCATCATTATTCCGCCTGCCCCATGCCTTTGAAAGCTCTCCACATTGACTTGTTTGCCTTTTATGGCGTCTTTCCCCCTGAAATATAAACTTCACAGGCACCGTCTATTTCACTGCTCTGCCCCAGTTCTAGTGCTCAGCACAAAGAATAAATATTCGATCAACAGAATATTGATGTGACAGAACCCCAGGTAGGGATCCAACTCGTAAAACTAATATTGGGGAAACAGTTCATTGGTGTTGAGGTGCAGAATGGAGAGTAAGAATCACCTCAGAGTTTTGAGGCCCTCACTGAATAATGCAGGGGAGGACGGCTGCTCCACAGCAGCCCTCAGTGATTGGTGCAGAACTAGACCCCACTTGGTGCTGGCAATCAGATCACACCAAAGTGACCGTGGCCCACCACTTCAGCTTCTGCGCATTTGGCCAGCGGCTTTGCGGCGTGAGGGCCGTCGGGAGCTGCAGCCCGTAGCATTTGCCCAGCTGCTAGAGGCTGTCTGGTGAGACTGGGAACTGTATACGTGCTGGGGAACAGCGTCGCGTCTTGGGGTCACTAGGTCAATGAAACACGGCAACAGAGAAGTTCCCGGCTCTCTCCCACTATCACAGTATCACGGGCTATTGCACCCAGGTGATAACGGGGCAGTGGAAGGAGCCGAGTCTGGGCCACGATGATGAATTGGTGACAGTTATGATTAGCCGCTCATGCTTAGTCATTGATCAAAGCTGCCGCGATTGAGCATTTGGGATAGAGGCTGGCGGCGCGCAGGTGAGTCACTTCCAGGGTTTGCTCAGGCAGGCATGGGGCTCTGAGAGGGCAGCCTTGTGGAGGGGTCATCTTAAGGACCTCGGGGGCCAGGCCGCTGAGCTTGGAGCTGAGGTTGTCCTTGAGGCAGGTGGTAGGTGGGGGAGGGGTGTGAGTCCTGGATATGGGGCTGGATATGGGGCTTCTCTGGTCAACTGGCCAGGTGACCAATGCACTCCTCAAAGGTCTGTGCAGCTTGTCTTGGGTGGTCAGCATCATGGGCATTGGTTTTGATTCTTCTCATCTCCCAATTCCCAATGCACAAACCACCAACTAGTGCTGACAGCTGTACCCAGTGCAAACCCTGGGTCTTACTAGGGACCCCCATCTCCATGGCCACCAGGACCACATCACTTAGCTCCCCAGCTTTCTCCCCTGGCCCCGCATTCTGTCTGTCACTCAGAAGCCAGAGGGATTCCTCGAATCTAGAGATCTGACCATCTGAGAGATTTCTCCATCTGAAAACTCTCCGGCGGTGACCCCCTGCACTGCGAATCAAACCCGCATTTCTCCCCACGGCCCAAGAAGCCGTGCCTCACCAGGCCCCCTCTGCCACCCTCTCGCCCATCTCAGTAGGTCTCTGTTTCATGCACCAGCATCTGTCCCGCTGAGATGTCAAGCTCCTTCCAGCCCCAGGGCCTTTGCACATGCGGGTCCAACTGAAATGCTGTTCCATTGCATCCTTGTCCTCAGTCAGGTCTAAGATTTACCACTTGCCTCAAAAGTAGAGCAGCTCAGACCTTCATTACCCTGCTCCCTGTCCTGGTCCTGCCCTTACTGTATGAATAGGTTTCCTGACTGGCTCCCCATACCTGCCCCCAATGCCTCACAATTAGTTTTCTAGTGAAGGTGACTGAAGCCAGCCACTACAGGTAACAGAGGGGCTTCCACTCCCCTTCTAGCTGAAACCCTTGTTTCCGGACCCTCTGGGTCTTGTTCCTCCAGAGAACAAGGAGGACAAGTTTACTGGAGGGGAGGGAGGGAGGCCAGGGGAGGGTCACATTTACAGTGCTAAATGTCAGAGGTTTGATGACACTTGGAATGTCATCCCCCTGGGCCTGCTCATCTCCCAGTTCCTTCCTGAAGTCACTTCCTCCAAGAAGTCCTCCCTGACTCACTCCACCAGGTATTTTTTTCTTATCATCATGTACAACTTGATTTTGAAATCTGCCTGCCCATTTATTCTGCCTCCCCCTCTAGAACACAAAATCCCCAATCCCAGTATCTACACCTGTGTGAGTGAAGGCAGAACTATCTGCAGAATAAATGACAGGCTGGGCGAACTAGCGGACAGCTCTGTAGGGAGAGGTCTGCAGTAGGGGAGAAAGGCTGTGCCGGGGGCTTGTATCCGCGCGGTTAGCTATCACATCAAGACTGGAGGCTCGCTCACCCCACTGCTCCCCGTGAACGTGAGGGGGGCTACCGCGTTCACTTACTAAAGCCTTCCCGGCACCAGGCGCGTTTTTAAGGAGGAAACTGAGACAGAGAGCTTAGGTCATGTGCCTGGGCACCTGGCTGGTGAGTGCAGCAGCGGGTGGCACAACTGGGGGCCTTGCTTGTACCTCCTGAAAGGACAAACCAGCCGGTTTCTAGAGCAAGCTGTGAAATATGGAGGATAGGGACCGAGGCCCAGCAGCCAGTGACAGTGTTTGCTTTTCACCACAGCCAGAGGCATCTGGTCTCCGCCCACCATGGACTTTGGCTCAGTGAGGAGGGAGCAGGGGTGGGTGTGCCCCCAGGCTGCTCTGTTGGGCCGCCCGTACCAGGGTTCCATGCCCTGTGCTTGTGCCTACCCGGGTTCCATGCCCTGTGCTTGTGCCTACGTTGGATTCAGAGTCCAGAGGCAAAAGCTGGGGTACAGTTGAGGTTTCTGGGCACCGATGCATCGGCCCACAGTGAAACCCACTTTGCCTTGGATGGAATTTCGAAACTTTCGTTGAGGTGTAATCCTGGGCTGCTTATGTAACCACCGGAGCCTTCGCTTCCTCCCTGGTAAGTGGGGACAGCAGCACCCCTTAGCAGTGGACCCCAGTATGAAAAGTGATGGGCTAACTGCCGCCCGTGGAAAGGGCCGAGGAGGGCAACTAGATTATCCACCAGGAGCAGGGGCATGCTGGTGCCAGAGGACATGTGGCAATTCACGGGGACAGTCTGGCTGTCACAACACAGGAGGTGCCCAGACACCTGGTGAGAAGAGGCCGGGGTGCTGCCCAGGCACCCTGAGGACTCAGGATGGCCCGCAGCGAGGATCCCCCTGTCCAGACATTGAGAATCCAGGTTGAGTCAGTTTAACCCTCCACATTTATAAGTTTTTTTTTGTTTGTTTGTTTGTTTTTTAGTTGTGTGGGCTTTGTGGGTCTTATTGAAACAAGAGAAAATGTTTAGCACTCAAGGCATTCCACCCAGCTGCCAAGATGGCATAGTTTTGTGCCTAAGATACCAATACTGTTGATAAACGTTCCAGGAAGTTCTGAGAAATGCATATTGTTCTCATGGGCTGATTCCATGGTCAACCCCCTGCCTCACTGCTAGGGAGAAATTCTGTGGCAGAGACCACGCCACCAGTCTCTGTAGAGGGAGACACCTGACCTCAGATTCAGACAAAGCACCTTGCTTAGAATCTCAACTCATTCTCTCAAGAATGAGTCCATCCATTCTTCTCTCCGCCACACTTCTGTTCATTCAACCTTCCGTCATTTTGTCCGTCTGTCCATCCACCACCTACCCACCATCCATCTAGGCTTCCCGCCTCCCTCCACCCTTCTATCCCCCTTCACTCTCCTGCCACCCATCCACGCACCCGCTCACCACTCAGTCCATTCACCCCCGCCCTTCTGCCTCCCTGTCTCCCTCCTTCCATCCATCTATCCACCCACCAAACACGAACTGTCCATCAGAGTAGCAGATGCTGGGATATGACATGCTCATCAGCTTCCTTTTCCTTCCTTGAAACAAATCAAACACGGGGGTGGTGGGTATCACAGAGGTGACATCCACCCCTGGCTTTGCTGGACCCACAGAGTAGATGAATGCTCATGACTTACACAAGTGATAAAATCAACTCACCATCCTTGAGAGAGAAGCTCAGAAGGTCCTGGGGGGAGAACAGGAATTGGCAGTGAGTGGAGAGGCAATCAGCCTGTTCACCTGACAAACGCTTACTGAGTCTCACTATGCTTAAGACGCAAGACGGCTCTGCACTCTAGTGAGCCAAACGTGTAAGTAAGTAAATCGGCCTGTGAGCATTTTTGGGAGTAAAATGAGGTAGGGGAAGGGCTTTTTAAATCTGCTCCCTCGCCCATGACAGTCCCTGTCACAAGTTTCTTCCTGCTTCAATTCGCAAAGAACAGGTGAGTGACAACCTCCAGGCCACATCGCAATGCTGCTGGTTCTAGAAAGAGGCACCAGAGCTAAGCAGTAAGGAGCCTGGACTCTGGAGCTGGGCTGTTCAAACCCAGCTCTGCCACTTGTCAGTTGTGTGACCTTGACCAAGTTACCGAACCTCTCTGTGCCTCAGCTTGTCATCTATTAAATGGGTCATCATATTGCCTTCCTTATAAAGTTGCTTTGAGAATTAAATGAGCTAATATATGTAAAGGGACTACTAAGCAATACACACTATTTAAATAACAAATCAACAGTATATGCTCAATAATGCTAATCTGACATCAGCTGTGATCATCATCATAACACAGGACGATGAAATATTTTATCTTTCTATCACCACACCCCACTGAAAGTAACTTTCAGAGTGACTGCAAATCTTTTATTTGTTCTATTTCCCCCAGCAGCCACCACCCAAGGACAGGGGCTGGGGTGGGGGGTACCTGGGTGATCACCATGGGGTCTTCCTTCAAGATGGGGTCCTTCAATAAAATCTGAGCAAACACATCTGCTCCTTCTCCTCCGAGGCCGCTGGCAAAGGCAGTCATGGTCGGCAAGACAGCTTCAGACAAGTCCAGCCACTTCACCAGGCCCGCTACAAACTGCGTGCAGAAAGAGCTGACAGACAAATGCGGTTAGATCCCACACAGCCAGGCTCTGCAGGGCCAGCAACATTCCCTCCTCGAACCACCCGCTATGGTCGATGCCACTTCGCAGCAGCTGCAATTCCCAGCCCTTCATTCTGAGGTTGAAAATGGAAAGTGTTTCAGTTCGTTCTCAGCCAGCTTCGCAGGCGAGGCTGGGGCATGTGACTGGAGGTAGCCAAGTGACCTAAGGACAGTAGTTTGGACCATTCCAGGGAAGATTTCTGCCGTGATCAACGACTCCAGAATCCCTCCTCCTCCTCCCTTGGGCTCGGTCTTGGGCAGGTGCGATGTATGGAGCTGTAGCAGCCATTCTGTGATCAGGAGAAGGCCAGGAGAACATCAGAGAGGCCAACCCAAAGTCCTTTTGAGGCACTGAATCAGCTGTGTTTGGGTCTCTTGTTAAGAGAGTAGAACAAATCTCCCGTGGTTTAAATCTTTTTCAGTACAGTGTTTTGATACCTGTGGCCTCAAATACTGACTAGCAGCGGTAAGGTCCAGTCTCAGTGTTGTCTCCACTTTACAAATGAGGAAAGTGAGGTAAATAATTAAGTTCACAGAATTAGCAAGTAATCCCTGCCATTTACGGAGAGCCTGCTATGTGCTTTATCTTATTTAATGCTACAATCACTCTGTGATTATAAACGGATGTTTATGGATGTTAAGTGACCTGGCCAAGGTCGTATACAACTAGAAAGTGTCAGAGGTAAGATCTGAACAAGACCCAAGCCCAAAGCCTCCAGGGATATCTGGACTAACAGAGATAAAGCCAGCATTAACTCACCCTTCACTTCATGAACCAGTGTCACCCGTGTCTCTGCTACCCCAAGCTGTGTGGGAGGCCCGAGGGGCTAAGAGATGAGCAAGCCAGCTCGTGCTCCCCAGGAACTCAAGGAGGGGGGCAGGGATGGAAAGAGTTAGGGTCCAGGTTCCATGATGGGTCATGAGCATACAGGTGGAGAAACACTGGGGGGAACTAGGGAAGGCTTCCTGGAGGTAACCCCCAAGGAGGTGAATGTGCTCATGTGTTCAGTCCCGTGGGAGAGACCAAGACCACAAAGTAAAACAAAACTCTGTGAAAGCCCTAAGTCATGTGGGAGCTTACTCAGTGGAGCAGGGTCCCTGCAGTGGGGGTCTCGGCCACACTGCCGATCCAAAACCTGTTGTGCTGTGCCTCAGTCACGGAGTCTGTCCTTGGATGCCCTTCCCGCCTGGACCTTTTGGGCTGTTGGCGGCTCTCTCTGCCCTCCCGCAACACCCAGCCTGTCCTCAAGTCAAGTCCATCGTCTCTGAGCAAAGTCCATCTCACCTGTGCTCCTCCACCTTCTGGCCCCTGTGTCCTTTCCCAGGACAACTGTATTCCTCCCGCCTCCAAACTTTCACCTTCCTTCCCTCTCACCCCCAGAATCCTCGAGGGCCAAAGCCTCGGCTCCTAACCCTGCCATCCTGACTCGAGCTGCAGGACTTCAACACACGTGTGCTAGATGCTGGCTCCCACGGCACCTGGGTTACACTCATCTTTCCAGGATGGTGCTCCGTCCTTCAGACACCCTCAAGTGTGGACACCTGGAGGGCAAGAGCCAGGCTGTGCTCTTTTTTGTTTCCTCCACAGTCATTGCATGTCACCCAGTAGGTACTCAACAAGCGTATGATGCATGAATAGAGAGCTATTGGCCTCGTAGACTGTGAGCCATGCCAGGGCAGCGACAGTGTCTGCCGTGTCCATGTAGACCTTCCCTGGACTTCAGGTGGAGCCTGGTATGCAGCAGATGCCCAGATAATGCTTGGTGAAGATACAAATAAGTGAGTGCTGATGAGGAATGTACTGCCAGGTTAGGAGCTGGTGTCTGGTGTTACCTGGCAGATTGCCTGACCGATGAGAACTGTGTTCCTGAAGAAGCATGACATTCCCTTATTGAGACTAAAGCACTTACCTTTCCTCAGGTTCTGGAAATAGTTGGGACAGAGAGATGCCACAGAGGGCAGCACAGGCGAAGCGGTCGGCCTCCACCATATCACGGGCAGTGGGCACACGCGACTCCCCCTCCATGACTGGCCCAGCCTCCCGGGGCAGCGTCTGGCTTGATTCACACCCTGCAGCCATGCCCAGCCCTGCAGGTCAAAAAGTCAGAGTAAACAGAGGTTACTTACATAGGACACAAAAATCACCAATCACAAAAGGAGAGATTGATAAGTTATGCTTCATTCAAATTCACCTGTAAGAGACTAAAAATACAGGCCATGGGCTAAGGGGACATATTTTAATATGCATATCAACAAAGGGTTTGTGCCCATGATATGTAAACAACTCATAAATATAAGTCTTCCAGAAAAACAAACAAGGAAAAATAAATGGATAAAATAATTGAATAGATGCTTAATACAATAGATAGGTCAAACCAATCTATGCTGATAGAGTCAAAAGAGTTATCTATGGGAGGGAATGTTAAATAAGCAGGACCACAGGAGGTTTCTGGGTGACAGAAGCGTCCTCCATCTTGTCAGGGGTTCATGACATGGGTATTAATATATGTAAAAATCCACTGAACTGTATGCATAAGATTGTGCAGTCCATGTATGTAATATTTCAATGAGAGCAGGAAGAAAGGAAGGGAGGAAGACCTGATTCTTCTACTTCTTCCTTCTATTTTTCCCTTCCTCCCTAGGTGAAGAGAAGAGGAGAGGGGAGGGAAGGAAACAAACCAAGACAAGGGAGACATCCAAGGAACAGAGAAGAAGGATCCATGTACTGGTTAGTACTGGGAAGGGGACTAGTTTTAACAGAGCATCATGGATAGAAACCCAAGAAATTGAAGATGGCATAAATTAATAGAATGATATTCTGTGCTGTGAATTGGAAGGTTGAATATCATGAAATGATCATACTATCCAAAGCAATCTACAGATTCAATGCAATTTCTATAAAAAGTCCAACAACATTTTCCACAATCATACACAATCACAGACAATCAATCCTTCCTTAATCACAATACTAAGATTTGTATTTTAGGCACAAAAACTCCCAAAGAGCCAGAGCAATATTGAGAATGAAGGACAAAGCTGAAAGTATATATCAACTACATCACGAACCTATAATGATCAAAACGTTAAGGCATTGGCATCAGTGCAGACACACAGATTAATGGAACAGCATATAGAGCCTAGAAATAAACCTTAGCATATACAGTCAATTACATGATGATAAAGGAGACAGTGATATCTAACAGGCCAAGGCAATTTCTTCAATAAGTGGTGTTGGGAAAGTCACATGCAAAAGAATGAAACTGAACCACTATCTTATATCATGCACATGTACCTGATAGCTCAAATGGATTAAACAGAATGGATTAACTTGAACATAATACCTACAGCTCTAAAGCCCCTAGAAGAAAACATGGGGGCTAAGCTCCTTAACATTGATCTTGGCAACAATTTCATATTATATCTAACAAAAAATGGTATACATAAACAAGCGGGACTATGTTAAATTCAAAGGAAACTATCAACAAATCAAAAAGACAGCCTACAGAGTGGGAGAAAATATTGGCAAAGCATGAATTTGAAAAGGGGGTTAATATCAAAATGGATAAAGACTTTATACAACTCAGTGGCAAAAAACAAAGAGGATGATTAAAAAAATGGGCAGAGGATATGATATATAGATCTACCTGAAAAGGTGTTCGATATCACTAGTTATCACATGAAAATACAAGTCAAAACCACAACGAGCTATTACTTCACACCTATTAGAATAGCTATCATGAAAATGATAAAAAAAAGTGTTTTATTTGGAAATTTGTGCATGATTGATGGGAATGTAAATTGGTACAACAACTATGAGAAGCAGTATGGGGGTTTCTCAGAAAATTAAAAATAGAACAAACATATGAATGAGAAATTCCACTTCAGGGCATGTATCCAAAGGAAATTAAAACACACCCCAAAATATATGTACCCCATATTCATTGAGGTATTATTTACAGTAGCTAAGATACAGAAGCAACCTAAGTGTCCACTGATGGATAAATGGGTAAAGAAGTACAGGAATACTATGCAGCCATGAAAAGGAAATCGTGCCAGCAGAGAAAGGCAAATACTATATGATCTCATATATATATATGGAATCTAAAAACAGTCAACACAGAAACTCTGGATACAGAAAGAGGCAGGGTGTTGGAGGAAGAGGGGGATAAAAGGATGAAGGGGGTCAAAGGATACAAACTTCCAGGTAGAAAATAAGTCATTCCTGGGATGTCATTTGCAGCATAGTGACTAAGTGGATACTGTTGTGTCACATATTTGAGGGTTGTTAACAGAATAATTTTAAATGCTCTTGTAAGACAAAAGAAAAATGATGATGAGTGTTAATGATACTTATTGTGGTGATCATTTTACAGGATAGACTATGGAATAATGGGAATAATCTGAAACTGATATGTTATGTGTTCATTATATCTGTTTTGCAAAAGTGAAAAAAAAGTTAAAAAGTAGCTAGATTTCCCTATAGAATTTTAAAGACCTTTTCTTAATGTCTAAGTAAATTAAAAGTAAGTATTCACCTCCACCCCAAGTTAACCAGTTAATTAACTTCATAAACACATACTGTTTATGAGGAGCCTTGCTGAAAAGCCCAGGAGACCCTCCACCAGGGAAACAGACAAAAGTAAGACAATTTTAGCTGAGGATGAGAGTTCCAAGGAAATAGAAGCCTTAAATAATGACCAAATTTCAAGAAACAACTATGGGCCTCCTTTCTCTCTGTCTCTCTGAACCTGAAAACAGGCTGTTCAGTTTCTGGATGGTTCTTTGAAGAAATATGCAAATTGCCCTGGGGCAGCAAAGCAGAAAAACCAGTTTTGGAGTCCCTAGGATGTGGGAGGGAGGAACCTGGTTCTCCATGACTGGAGCCTAGCCACAACAGTCACTCCCTAGGGACTCAGCACCCCCACAGGTTCCTCTACCTGGGCTCAGAAGAGCACCCCCTCTCAGGGCTAGAACACACAGTAGGGACAAGCATGCAGCTGAAGGCTACTTCAGTCCAGGCCTAGGATGGACAGGGGTTGTTTTGGAGTGGGATCTGACGGTGACGCTGTGGTGAAGTCCGGCACCAAAAAACATGTTATTTTCGTGAGTAATGGGAATAGAGTCATTTGATAAACATGTCTTCAGCTCTGCAAGTACCCACAGTAGGTGTTCAGCCAACCAATGTTTGTTGACTGAAGTCACAACCAACACAATGAGGTTTCATCTGGAGGAGATACAACAAAATATCAAAGTCAGGGCTAAGGAGGAAATCAGAGTCGAAATCAACCTTGAGAATCCTTCAAGTCATCATTAAAACACCATGACCTAGGCCTTTTGATGATCACATGCAAGAACGAAGCGCTCTGGCCGATCTCACATGCCGGCCAGCTGTAACCTGGTTTTTTCTTTGGAGTGGGCAATGAAGATCAAGGTCACATTTGATGTAAGTGTGTGGGTGTGGGTGTGATAGGGGCTGAGGGTGCTGGTGGAAAGGTGTTCTCTTTCCCTCGTCAATGTTCCTGGTGCACTGGTCACAGATGAATTTTTAAATGCGTCTGAAGTACAGTAAAATAAGCATTACCTGAGAAAGGGCTGTAGTATTGCTGGAAGGCTGAGGACTAAGTTTTGGAGTCAGAGTAGGTAAGGAAGGCATTTGGCTGAAGAAATCCTTTGTAACAAAAAGAACTAAAGCACTTTAAGTCAGAAACTCTGGTAGCTGAAAGTTAAAATGCACACACACACACACACACACACACAGAGCTGGTCCTAGAAGTGAGGGTCCTAGAAAGGTCCATTACTCTCCTTATAGTCACCCACTAGCATTCTAGGAGAGAAACCCATACCTCTCTATCTGGAAGGTAAATTGGCAGCATCTCAGGAAGTCTCCATGGCAACAGTTCCAACTGAAAAGACCCCAGAGACTTAAGGATAACTCCGATATAGCAGAAGACAGAAGGGGTGTTGGCAGCGGGCGAAGGCTCCTATTACAACATGGATGAGAACATCAGTCTAGGCCAGTAAGCCAGTCACAGAGAGACAAATAGTGCATTATTCCGCTTATTATTATGGAGATGACAGGGACTACAGGGCGGGGACAGGGAGAGTTTTGTTTATTGGGGACTATTTCAGATTTGGAAGTTGAAAAGTTCTGGAGATTGTACAACAGGGGAGTATAATTGGCACTACTGAATCACACACTTAAAATTGGCTAAGATGGTACATTTGATGTGATATGTATTTTATCCCAAATATTTGTAAGAAAATCATCCCAGTAGATGTTTAAACAGCAGGTGCACCAACGCCCCCACCCTCCCCCACCATGAGACCCTGGTGACTTTATCAGCTTTGTGCCATCTGACAACGGGTTCCAGATGTCCTGCTCGTGGGCTGTTTCCTACACCATAGGAAGCTCCGAGAGAGCAGTGGCTACAGCACTGCGTTCCCGATGTGCCCCAGAAGCAGGGTCTGCAGAGGAGGCGCGTTGAAAGAAATAACGAACAGCTCCCCCACAACTGAAAAATGACTTCAGCATTATTTATTTTTTTTAGATAGAAGACAATAAGATTTTGCAGAAAGCAAAGTCTCCATATTTGCTCAAGAGACACTCCCAAAGTTAGATGTCACTACTGAGCAGAATCTGAGCAAACTCAGATCAGCCCTGGAGATCAGGATGGTAAACGGGGTCCTGGCAGAAACCCCAGCAAGGAGAGTAAAACTCCAGGCTGAGCTGAACCCACTTAGCTGCGAATGTCTCCAGTGTCTCATGGCCTGGGGTATTTGGAATGCAAGTCTGAGTTGGGCTCTCAGAAGGATGGGGTGGTACTAACCTAGGAGAAGGGGAAGGAGGGAGGTGCCCTGAGGAGGGAGGGATCAGGATGTCAAAATCACCGAGGGTGAACGATCAAGTGTCTGAGGTGTGCCTGCAGGTGAAGCTGGGGCCCAGACAGCAGGGCCTTCTAGTTACATTAAGGCTTTTGATCTTTACCCTACGAGGGGAGGAAGAGCATGTACAGCTGGCTGGACCTGGCAGGCAAGCGGCAGGTTGCTAAGTAGAAAGTAGGCTGGAGGTCCCTCCCGAACCCCCTTCTGCCTCTGGAGCAATCAGGGAAGCCAGGCCCCCCTCCTCTGCAGCCTGTTTATATTGCACACCATGTCTACAAAACACACAGTGAATAACCTCTCAGGTCCCACAGAGCAGGCCCAGGTCGCTACTCCAGCCACCGAAGCGTGCTGCTTCCATGATGGAGGAGATGGTTTCTCTGGGCGCCAATCCTTGAGGCCTTCACAGGCTGAGCTACGGTGACCTACTTAGTCAACGGTGCCTATCCCTTTGCTCCTGGACCTTAGATCTAAAAAGGAAAGGGGCTTCTGTGTGGCCAGACCCTGCACACGGCAGTGCGGCTCAGGACCTTCATCCTTATGGCAACCTTGGAGACGGGTATTTAGAAAGGAGGAAACTGAGGCATGGAGAGGTCACGTGGCTGTCCACAGAGCTAGGGCCTGGGCCCACACATTTGTCTGAGGCTGAGCATGTGACCTCAAGGGCTGTAAAAGCTGAAATGCTGACTGAGTCACGAGCATTCTACTTCTTGGCTGGGCAGAGAGCCGCAGTCTCCTCCCCTAGAACTCAGTCACCCTGATCTCTGCCTCCTAGGCAATTAACAGGTTATCAACAGGGTCGCTAATGCCTCTAAATAAATACACCCTTCTTACCCTTGACAGCCTCTGATACAGGCCACACACTGATCACTCTTTATGATTTACAAAGCAGGTTGATGTAGTGTCACCGATGCCATGAATTATTATGACACCCATTGTCTGATAAGGTAGTGGAGGCCCAGAAAGGTGGAGTGACCCACCCAAGGCCAAGCGGCGAGGAGGCGCAGGACCAGGTCTGAGGTTCAGGGCTTCCCTGGAACACTCCAGCCTCTTAGGCCCCTCCCAAATCCCCGCGGAGAAGGGTGGGAAAGCTCAGGAGACAGCATCTGGAGCAAGACCCCCAAGAGCTGGGGGCAGTGAGGTTTGGTCTCCAAGAGCCCGGCTGTCTCAGCCCTTCTCCTTCCACCCCCAGGCGGGGGGGGGGGGAGGGCAGCATTTTCATGCAGTCTGCAATGACATGAACACTGAATTACAGAAAAGAGCACTAACTTAACTCCTACAGGCCTGGACCCTGCACTCCTGACTTCCTGGGTGACCCCTCCCCACCCCACGACAGAATCTGTGCCCCGACCTTCTTAAATTCTGGAGATTCTTCTGTTCTCCTTCCTAAAGGGCTGGCATTGGGGAGTCACTTCACCTCTCTGGGCCTCAGTTTACCTAGCTACAAAATCCACCCCAAAGACGGCAGCAATAACTCTTCCCTCCAGTAACAGGAGGCAGGGTGAGGAGGCCCCGCCTGTGACTGGGCCGGACGGACTTTCCGGGGAGTTCCCAGCCGGCCCCCCCCCCCCCTACGGATTAGCTGGGAGTGTGTGTCCTCCCAGAGGGCTGTGGGAACAAGGAGAGGGACAAGAGGGGTGCTGACAGCCTCCCTCACCGGCATTGCTGGGGCCATGTGGGCCACAAGGAAACCCAGTGACCCTGTGTGACCTTGGGCAGGTCCCTCGGTGGCCTTCCGGCACCACCGCGGCTTCCTCACTAATCAAGGGAAAGACTGGGTGGCCTCTCAGGGTCCAGAGTCCCGGGCTGGGCGGCGGGAGACGCCTGAACGCCCCGCCAGGCCTCAGTTTCCCCACCTGCGGTCCGACCTGACATCTGAGGGCACTTCCGCCCCTGGGAACAACTGCGCGACCACGCGGCAGTCTGGACGCCGTGGGCGCGGGGCCCCGAGGGAGCGGGGTGGGGGG